AACCCACCACTCCATCACCCCCACAAATATTCCCCACAACATCAACAAATTCTAGAGGCACCAGCACCAACTAAACCAGTTGGAAGAACAGACTCACTCTGCTGCCCAATCCCACCTATGCCAGCATTCTCCACATGAACAGCCCTCTCCAGCAACATTAGAAGACACTATAGACATAAGCACCACCCACACCAGTTGAAAGAATAGGTAGAGGCAAAGCCTACAAAAACAACTGGAAGAACAGATCCCATAGGAACAAGTAATGCCCACACAGTCAGAAGGACTGAAGGATAAGCTGTGTTTAAGCACCCAGATACCCACAAACACCAGCTAACACAATCCTACTTGACCTCGAAAACAAGCAGTCACCTGAACCCTTGGCCATTCAGGACAAAAGACAGACAGTAAAGGAACAAAAGATCCATCCAACAAAGACATCACAAGAATCAACACTGATGAGTAAACAGCAGCATAAGACTACATTCAAAAACATAGAGAGCAATATGGCACCACCAGAACCAAGTGCTCCTACAACAGAAAGACCTGCACATCCCAATGAAGATGAAGCAGAAGAAAATGACCTTAAAAATCACTTTATGAAGATGATAGAGGTCTTTAAAGAAGAAATGAAAAATTCCCTTAAAGAGATTAAGAAAAGGACAAAAAAATTGGAGGAAACTAAAACAGCCCTTATAGAAAACCAAGAAAAAGAAATCAAAGAGGTGAAGTTGAGGACTTGACAATTGAAATCATGGCAACAATGAAAACACAAACTGAGGGAATTCTGGAGATGGAAAATCAGGGTAAACCATTAGGAACCACAAATTCAAGCATATCCAACAGAATACATGATGCAGAAGAATCTCAGGCATTGAAGATATAACAGAAGAAAGAGATTCATCGGTCAAGGAAAATGTTAGATTGCAGAAATTCTTAACACAAAACATCCAGTAAGTCTGGGACACCATGAAAAGATCGAAGTTAAGAATAATACGGATATAAACAGGAGAAAAACTCCAACAATGGCAAAAAAATATATTCAACAAAATCACAAAAGAAAACTTTCCCAACTTAAAGAAGGACATGCCTATGAAGGTACAAGAAGCATACAGAACACCAAAAAGACTGGACCAAAAAAACAAAAGTCCCCTCACCACATAACAATCAAAGCACTAAAAAGACAGAATAAAAAAAGGATATTAAGAGCTGCAAAGTAAAGAGGCTAAGTAACAGATAAAGGTAGACCAATCAGAATCACACCTGCCTTCTTAATGGACACTAAAGAAAGAAGGATCTGGATAGACATTTGCAGACACTAAGTCCAGCAAAACTTTCAGTCATCAAAGATGGGGAAAACAATATACTCCTTGACAAAAAAGATTTAAACAAAACCTATGCAAAAATGCAGACCTAAAGAAAGTACTAGAAGGAAAGCTCCATCCCAAGGATGTTAGTTGCACCCAGGAAAACACAGGCAACAGATAAACTCCCACCAGCAAATACCAAAGAAGAAAAGAATTAGCAATCACTGGTCATTAATATTTTTTAATATCAATGGACTCAATTTGCCTATAAAATGACACAGGCTAACAGAATGCACAGGAAAAGAGGATCCATCCTTCTGTTGCACACAAGAAACATGCTTCAACTTCAAAGACAGACATTATAGAGTAAAGGATTGTGAAATGGTTTTCCAATCTAATGGACCTAAGAAGCAAGCTGGTGTAGTTATCCTAATATCTAACAAAACACACTTCCAGACAAAATTAACCAAAAGAGATTAAGAAAGGTATTTCATATTCATTACAGGATAACCCATCTAAGTGAAGTTTCAATTCTGCACATTTATGGCCCTAATACAAGTCCACCCACATTTGTAAAGGAAATAGTACTAAAACTTAAATCGAACAACCAACACCACACATTAATAGTGGGAGACATCAACTCCCCACTCTCAACAATGAACAGGTCTTCCAGACAGAAACTTAATAGAGAAATAAAGGAACTAGCAGATGTTATGAATCAAATAGGCTTAACATATATCTACATACAATTTGCCCAAACACAGAAGAATATACCCACCTCTCAGCATCTCATGGAATCTTCTCTAAAACTGACCACATACTCTGTCACAAAGCAAATCTCCACACATACAAAAAACTGGAATACCTACCTATATCTTATTGAATCACTATGAATTAAAGGGAAAATTCAACAACACCACACATTACAGAATGCCTACCAACTCGTGGAAACTGAACAACGCTCCACTGCATCTCATCTGGGTCAAGGAAGAAACAAAACATTTAAACACTTCCTAGAATACAATGGAAATGAATGCACAGCATAACCAATCTTATCTGACACTTTGAAAGCAGAGCTGAGAGTAAAGTTCATAGCACTAAGTGCCTGCATAAAGAATCTGGAGAAATCTCAGACTAGCAGCTTAACAGCACATTGCAAAGCAGAAGCAGACTCACCCAGAAGGAGTAGAAGGCAGGAACTAATTAAATTGAGGGCTGAAATCTACAAAATAAAAACAAAGAATGATAGAAAGTAGCAATGAAACATAAAGTTGTTTCTTTGAGAATATCAACAAGATAGACCACTCTTATCCAAACTAACCAAAAATCAAAGAGAAAATCAAAGTAACTTCAGAAATGAAAAGGTTGGGCACAACAACAGAGATGGTGAAATCCAGAGAATCATCGGGTTATACTTAAAAAAATGAATTATGCAAAATTGGAAAATCTAAAAGTAATGAAAAATCTTCTGGATAGGTACCAATGACAAAATTGAATCAAGACCTGGTAAACTATTTCAATAGACCTATAACCTCTAAGGAAATAGAAACAGTCATCCAAAGTCCCCTCCCCCTAAAAAGCCCAGGCCCAGACAGTTTTAGTGCAGAATTCTACCAAAACTTCAGAAAAGAGCTAATACTCAAGTTCTCCAAATCGTTCCACACAATAGAAACAGTAGGAACATTGTCAAACACTTTTTGTGAAGCTAAATTTATCCTGATACCCATACCACACAAAAATGCAGCAAAGAAAGAGAATTACAAACAAATATCCCTATGGACATTGAGGAAAAATTAGTCAATAAAAGCTGAAAAAATTCCAAAACCATGTCAAAATCGATGACTATGTTAAAATAGACTTCATCCAAGAGTTGCAAGGATGGTTCAACATACAAATGTCTGTCAGTATAATCCTCCATATAAACAAACTAAAAGAAAAAAAATGTGATAATTTCATTAGATGCTGAAAAAGCCTTTGACAAGATCCAACACCGCTTCATGATAAAGGGCTTGGAGTGAATAGGGATGCAAGAAAATTACCTATACATAATAAATCAATATATAGCAAGCCAACATCAAATTAAATGGGGAGAAACTCAAAGAGATTCTATTAAAACCAGGAGCAAGTCAAGGCTGCCCAGTCTCTCCATAGCTATTCAATATAGTACTCAAATTTCCAGCTAGAGGAATAAGACACAAAAGGAGATCAAGGGGATGCAATCTGGACAGGAAGAAGGCAAATTTCACTATTTGCAGATGATATGATAGTATACACAAGTGATCCAAAAATTCTGCCAGGGAACTCCTAAATCTGATAAACACATTCAGTAATGTGGCAGGGTACAAGAATAACCATGAACAGAAAATCAGGAGCCCTCCAATATACAAATGATAAATGGGCTGAGAAAGATATCAGAGAAGCAAAACTCTTTACAATAGGCCATTATTTGTATATCGTAGGGTAACTCTAACCAAACAACTGAAAAGCCTGTATGACCAGAACTTTAAGTCTTTGAATAAGATATGCAAAAAAGATATCATGAAATGGAAAGATCTCCCATGATCTTGGATTGGTAAGATCAACATAGTAAAAATGAAAATCTTATCAAAAGCAATCTACAGATTCAATGCAATTCCCTTCATAATCCCAACACAATTCTTCCCAGAGCTCGAAAGAATACCCAACTCCATTTGGAAAAAATAGCCCCAGAAGAGCTAAAATCATCTTGTACAATAAAGGAACTTCTGGAAGTATCACCTTAGAGCCATACAAATGAAAACAGCATGGAACTTGTATAAAAACAGACATGTGCATCAACAGAATGGAATTGGAGACTCTGACATAAATCCACATACTTATGACCAACTAATTTTTGACAAACACACAAAAAATACACAATGGAACAAAGAAAGCATCTTCAACAAATAGTGCTGGCATAGCTGGATGGTGGCATGTAGAAGAATGTAAATATATCCATATCTACCACCATGCACAAAAACAACTCCAAGTGGATCAAAGACCCCAACATAAATCCAATTACACTGAACCTGATAAAAGAGAAAGTGTGAAGTAGCCTTGATCACATTGGCACAGAAGACTACATCCTGACTATAACACCAGCAACACAGTCACTGAGATTGACAGTCAATAAATGGAGCCCCTGGAAACTGAAAAGTTTCTGTAAGGCTAAGGACAACATCAATAAGAGAAAATATCTTACAGAAAGGGAAAAGATTTTCACCAGCCACACATGTGAGAGAGCTGGTTTCCAAAATATATAAAAATCTCAAGAAGCTAGACAACAAAATACTAAATACTCCAATTTAAAAATGTGGTACATATTTAAACAGAAAAAAGCACCAACGTGTTGTTCCTTGTGGAGTCCCAACACACAGAGATGATTGGTGTTCATATTTAACGCAAAACACAAAGTGGCGAGGATCAAGGCCACATGGCTAGGGTTTATGGTGAGTTGAGGATTAGGGTAACAGATGCAGGTCAACGGTAGGGACTCAGATGGCAATGGGGAGCATGTGTGTAAGGGTGTCGAGTAGTGCAGATGGGAGGAGGGAGGGGCCCTGGGGGACTCGAGGATAAGCGCTAAGTAAGGAGGAGACTCAGGTAGGGGACCCCAGGCGTGACCTCACAATCTTAGGGATGACCCAACAATGCAGAACCCAGCAACCAGCTAGCCAATTGCTGAGAGCTAGGCTGGAAGGCTCACTTGTCTTGAGACACGAGAGAAAGCACAATGTTTTCGTCCTGTCTCAGGACTACTCGAGAAGGAGGCTCAGACCTCAGTAAAGATGAACTTGGAGGCCGTGGTGAAGTCCGTGGTAGTGCCTGGAGACTCCAGGCACGCTCCTGGTTCCACCGCATCTGGCCATTTGGACGGAGAGAAACAAACTTGAGCCAGGATAGCCAGGGCAGCCAGGGCAGCCAGGGCAGCCAGGGCAGCCAGCGCAGCCAGGGCAGCCAGGGAATCCAGGGCAGCCAGGGCAGCCAGGCCAGCCAGGCCAGCCAGGGCAGCCAGGTCCAGGACGACACAGACCAGGTGAGCACTGTGAGATCTCAGAATTTCCCTCAGTTTCATTCTGGATCTTGGGCAGTGAGGAGGATCAGGAACAGTTGGAACGATGCCTGTCTGAACTATCCACCTTGATCTTTCCTCAGGTCGGACAGGAGTCTGCCCCTGCAGTCCTGAATGAGTCCCCTAGAATGCCCCACTATGGTCCTCTGGAAGAGCTGATGGCTTTCTTAGTGATGTCCATTCAGGGTGGAGACTCCTTCTTTGCCCTTGTCTTCCTCTACATACAAGAAAGGCTTCTCACCACCCAGCAGGTGCTGGACCTGCTGTTCAGTCGGTGAGTGCCCAACTCCGAGCCAGGTGCCTCAGATCCTCTTGTTGTCTATGGGAAGTGCTCTGAATTTCTAGGGTCTTGTAAGGACCCAACAGCATGAAGTCAGAAAATGCTTCCTCCAAGCTTTGCCCTAGTGACTGTCCTGTCCTGGAGCTGGGAGCCTAGCGAGAGTGGGTGTCCTCTGAACTCTCTAGAAGCTCTGTATCCTTGACCCAATTTTTTGAGGCCTTGGTCATAGCAGTTCTCCCATTGTGAAGGAGGGTCCTAGAATCCATTTTGGAGTAGCGAAGAGAGCTGCCTCCAGAGTGGAGAGCCGTGGATGGTAATGCGAGGAAGGCACCCTGTGTCCGCTGAGGTGTCTGGATAGAGATGTTTGTGATCACCCACCCACTGCACAAACATATTTGAAGCACCTCCTTGTATGCAGGGGAACTAGTCATTTTTTTTTTTGGTTTTTCGAGACAGGGTTTCTCTGTATTGTTTTGGAGGCTATCGGTCCAGCCCAGCCTCGAACTCACAGAGATCCGCCTGCCTCTGCCTCCCGAGTGCTGGGATTAAAGGCATGCGTCACCACTGCCCCCTGGAACTAGTCATTCTTAGAGCAGATAGAACTTCTAGGCTCTGAACGTTGATTCCTCTCCAGGAATCTGCAAGTCCCCAAGGACTTTTTTTAGGTAGTGAACTGGAGCTCTCCAGATGACATCATCCTTCCTGTTCTCCTTAGATACACATCGTTCCGCCCCGACTGTGACGAGGATGAACAAGTAAAGAAGTAAGATGGCTTTGTAACCTGACAAGTGCTGCCTAGGCTCTGGAGAACCGGCTCATTTAAGTTCTAAGGGCAAGGGATGGCCGATGCTTGGGTCTCACCCTCTGGTCTCTACTAACATAGTGAGGTCTAAGCATTGCCTGCAGGGTGAGGAGAACCTTTGGGCAGGTTCCTTGCAAGTGGGGATGTTGGAGATGCCTGTGTCCTCCAGTGCCCCTGGGAGACTCTACTCGCATCTTGACCCATGGCATGCAGGCTGGGTCCGCTTTGCTCTATCAGAGCCGGAGAAAGGGGTGTGTGCAGCTCCCTGCACACACAGACCTCACCAGGGCTGGATCTCGTCCACCTTGAGGTGTCACACCCATGGAGCGATCCCAGGGCGGGATGGCAAAGGAAAGACCAAGTCATTGACTGTGCTGTCTGTCCCTTTCTGCCAGCACCATCTGTTCCCTCCTGGACTACTGGATCGACAAGTTCCCTGAGGATTTTTGCAAGATTGAACACCTGCCCATTCTGACTCGGGTGAAGAACTATTTGATTGTGCATATGCCCTACTCAGACCTTCTGGTCCGTGTACACTATCTCCAGGAAAAGTTGCTGTCACAAGTGGCCAGCGATTCAGAGTCCAGCAATGAGGAAGCCTCAGGGTAGGTGCTTGAGAGCATGGGAGCAGGGTTCAGGACCTGGAGTGCTCTGGGGATGCTTGAGAGTTTCCTTTATGCAGGAGCTATTGCTGGACCCTAGCTCAGACACAAGTTGTTTTGTACAATAGGATCTGGACCTAGGGCAGACATGGTCTCCTCTGTTTTAAAATGCTGATCCTAGGCATGTTGTCTCCTCCTGTAGCTCCACGGCCTCTTCCCCTTCTAGAGACACCAGCAGCACATCTGTCTCCATCCTTAGATCCGAGGAGCTGTGCATCCCCACATCCAGAGCCCCAAATCTGTTGACCAGCTGTGATGATGGTTACTCTGGAGACAGCAGCAGCCTGTGCACTGGAACCGGAGAGCAAACAAGCAACACAACGTCCTGTGACAAGTGTGCAGCTGGAGGCAGTTGTGGCAACAGCTACATTTGCTACATCACGAGTGTGTGAAGCTGTTGATGTTGTACCTCTGGCCGTGAGGGCAGACACTGTGCCACTTTCAACATCTTGCTTGGGCCGCAGTGGTCTGCCTCCCCAGGGAATGGCCGGTCCACCCCTTCCTCCTCTGGTTGTCCCCATGGATCTACGCTGCCGACAGCACAGGTTCTGCTGTTTCCCCACAGAACGACTCCCTGATTGCAACCCGGCAGCATCACCAGCCCCACAGACTCACCCTCCCCTGGATAGTAGCCTTTTTAGTATTCTGTATTCTGGTTCTTTTTAATGTTGTGTTAGTTTAATCAGAGTATTGGTTTTAATAAATTGTTCTTGTTTGATTTCATTGTCTGAATCGTGGTTATGAAGTCCACTCTGCATACGTGTATTGTGCCTAGGAGAATGTCTACGTGGGAGAGGCTACGTGGAGACAGACCATCCTGGAGAAAGGGAGATAAACGCCCCGGCCTTGACAGAGGCCAGCTGAATGCCTGGGAGAGGTGCTACAAGTCCACATAACTGGGGCTGGCTGTCATTGACTGTGGTCCTGACGACCAGAGTCATGTGCTTAGAGGTCAGGTCAACCAGGTGTCCTGCAAAGAAGTTTCTCCTTGAGATGCAGGCTCCTGTATCTGGTTAGCAGCCATATATCAGGGGCCGATGAGGACAAACTCTAATGTCATGAGATCTCTTCTTGCTATGTGCACAAGGCCAGGTACACTTACCTTTTCTGAGTAAGTAGAAATGACATGGCATAATTGGGTGAATTTAATGAGATTGATGTTTTATTTTCATTGAAAGTGAATAATAAGTTTAATAATGAAAAATGGAATTAAGAAAATAAGTGATTTGTGGTTTTTATGACAGCCTAGCTTCCTGTATTTGTGTACATTCTATGTCTCCTAAATAGGTTTTCTTTACACCAAATGTAGACTACCACATATAACCACGACTTATCTCAACATAGGTAATATGGTGTCCTCACAGCTGCTTCTTCTATGCTCAGGGAACAATGTCACAGGAACATCATAAATGAATGGGGGAAGATATTGTAAAAGTTAGACTGGTGGGAATTTTGCTGTGAACGTCTCTCATAAACAGCTACTCAATGAAGACCAGAACAATGGCAATATCCATGAACATGTTAATGTGTAAGAGGGAAATTGTCATGGGATCACTTTCACCAGGAACTATAGTTAGGTAATGATTATGGGGAAAAGGAGAATTAGTGTCTCCTTGGGGTGAATCCACTTATTGGTTTTCCCTTGAAGTGTGGCCATCATTGAATTTATTGCACACAAACAATAAAAATGGACCCAGAACGTTGAAATTATATGTATTTGTGAGTACACATATGTGTCAATCAATCAATCAATCATAGAAACAGCGTGGAGGGGTTTGATATTGTTTTTCTGGGATGAGTTTTATAAGGGTAGATGTGAGGAACTGAAGGGTAGGTTTCATGGCGAAATGTAAAATATTTCAAATAAGCCCTTTTAAATAAAATGAGCTTTTTAAAAAGTTGCTGCAGGTAAACACAGTTTAATTGTACAGCTTTCAACCAATTTTATTAAGTTGTATTAGGGAAGATAAGACAAAATTAAAGGAATCGTTACAATAGGTGATACAAAGGAAGCAGAATAAGCCATTGGGACCAAGCTGGTAAACAGCATTCCATACAGTCTCTCCCTCAGTCCCTCGTTTCCAGATATTTGATCATACACTGTGAAGATGTATCTCTCTCCTTCCTTGACTGCCTAAGGTACCTTATGATTGGTTTTATAAGGAGCTGAAATGTAGGTGGTTTGTTTTTTGTTTTAGTCTTAGGGGATCCAGCCGCCCAGTTCCCAAATAATCTCAAGGAGACTTATTTTTAGGAATGATTGGTCTCATCTCATTCATCTCATCATCTCATCATCTTATTTTATCTCCAACAAGGTTTTTTCATTTTTTAAACTTCAGTCTCATCTACCTTTTGCTTCTGTTTTTTAACCTTCCTCCATTTCTGTATATCTTCTTACTCCATGGCTTGCTATGTAGCTCGGTGGCTGGTCCCTGGTGTCCTCTTTCCTTTTCTCATGTTCTTCCTCTCCCCTTTTCTCTCTATCTCCTTCTATTTATTCTCTTTGCTTGACCGCCCCACCTAGCTCTTTTCTGCCTTGCACTTGCCCATTCAGCTTTTTATTGGACCAATCTCGTGATTTAGGCAGGCAAAGTAACAGTGCTTCACAGAGTTAAACAAATGAAACACAAAAGAATGCAATACATCTTTACATTACTAAATAAATGTTCCACAGCGTAAAAAAATGTAACATATCTTCAACTGACATTCTACAACATTGAATGCCAATAGCTAGGCAGGAGAGGATAGACAGGACTTTGGGTATATATAGGAACACTGGGATGAATCTGAGGTAGGGGATTCACCAGCTAGATGCGGAGGAAACTGAAAGTACTGTACTGGGTACTGAGGACAGGTAAGGAGCCGCCTGGCAGAAGATAGATTAATATAAATGAGTTAATTTAAGTATTAAGAGCCAGTTGGAAACAAGTCTAAGTTAAGATAAGCTTTCATATTTAATAAAAGGTCTCCATTTCATTATTCAGGACTTGGTGCTACAGAGAAAGACCTGCTACAGCTCCTGACTTCTGATTCCTTCTTGGATTCCTGCCTTGGCTGGCTCTGCTGGTGGACTGTAACTTAGAAGTATAAAATGGACTTAAAAGCTCTTTCCTTCTCAAGTTAATTTTGATTGGTGATTTATCCTACCAACAGATAGCATGCTAGACTAATGTCTTAAACAAATGAAAAAAGTTTCAATAGAGGCCAAGTGTGGTCTTTACGGTGTTTAAGGATTGCTCTGTCTAAATTGTAGATGACATAGTTCATACTATTTCTTACTGTCTGACAACCTTGTTTAATATTCACATTTTTTTGGACTCAGTCTGATTTTATCTCACCAAGTTGCAGTTATTTTTTATTCCTTTTGTCATCCAAGGACATATGACTGGTGCCTGTTACTTGTCAGTCTTGTTGCAGCAAACATTAAGATGAAGTTATTTTAGCCGGGCGTCGGTGGCACACGCCTTTAATCCCAGCACTAGGGAGGCAGAGGCAGGTGGATCTCTGTGAGTTCGAGGCCAGCCTGGTCTACAAAGTGAGTTCCAGGACAGCCTCCAAAGCCACAGAGAAACCCTGTCTCGAAAAACCAAAAAAAAAAAAGATGTAGTTATCTTAAATTTCACATTCAAATTTGCTTGTGGAAATATATTGAAAGGGAAATGATAACTTCACATGCTTGATAGCAGAAGGAGAAGGAGAGTAACATAAACATTTCAAGAAGTTAGTGGGTGAGGACATAGCTCAGTTGTAAATTTCTTGCCTATGCTGTACAAACTTCAAATAAAATAGAAGAAAGTACAATAGTTATAAAAGAACTAATAATGTAATATTAAATTATTTTAAAGGATAATACTATTTGATGTGTCAGTTGAGATTGATATAGAAAAATATAGAGCATATCTAAATAGTCACATATAAAATGCCAGGTAGGAAAAGGGGAGGTGTTCTGCCCAGTACTACAGAGAGGAATAGGTTGGCCCAGGGCCTCACCTATGCCAGGCAAGTGCTCAACCATTGAGTCTCATCTATAGCCTTGGTATAATATATGAAAAGACAAATTCCTGAGCAAGTTCAATTTACTAAAACGGATACCAGAAGAATTAGAATCTTAGAATGCCCTTTTATTTGTATGTGATATATGCCAGGGAAAAGGCTGACATTTCAATCACTGAGAAGTTGGAGCTGTAAATGCATCCACTCAGTACATTGGACTATAATGGGCCTGTACGAAGATCTCAAGCATGCAGCACCATATCAAACAATGGAGTCAGTTACCTTCAATCCAAATTAAGTAAAGACCAATGTAAAAGTCTTGGCTACATTGCAAGTTGATGTGAAACTGGGCAGACTGATCTTGAACTTGACAAAATTAGGTTAACACTCAGGAAAGAGAAGCTGGCTCGTTGCCTCCTCCACTGATGCCTCGTTGTTCCTCACCTCATTGGCAGCCAAGGAGTACTTACTATTCACATGCACATGTCTTCTTTGAACTTAGGGAAAGATTGGTCTTCATTTGCCTTGGAGCACGTTAGAAGTGAGCCCAGCTCACCCCATTGTCCTTCTCTTCTCTATTCTAGGATGGCTTGTCTATCAACCACGGATGCATGCTTTTTCAGAGGATGTACCAACAGTTTACAAAGGTAATACATTATAGGTCAAGCTGGCTTTAGGCATCATCTCAATGCCAGCACTTGCTAATTGTTACCTGTTGCCTTAGACTAATTAGTTTATGTTCATTGTTTTCTCATCACTGACATGAACAACTCAAGGAAGAAATGATTTATTTCAGTTCACAGTTTCAGAGATTTAGTCCATGGTGGCAAGTAGGTGTGACAGATGGAACGACTCAGGTGATCAGGAAGCAGAGAAAGACACTGGAGTACTATCAGCTGAGGCTGAAAAAGAATTAGAATGGGTAGAAAAGAGAATATTAGAAGCACATGTGGACCGTGTGGATCCAAAGCTGGACTGTATTCTGGTTATTTTACCATCTAGAGAATACCCCTCAGGAATATTAATGCAGAGGGAAGACATCATTCTAGAATGGGTATTTCTCCCACATAAACAGAATAAAAATTGAAACATATATAGAAAATATCTCTGATTTGATATTAAAAGGTAAGTTAAGGCTTTGTCAACTGACTGGGAAAGACCCAACTGAAATTACTGTACCTTTAACTAATGAGGAAATTTCCTACTTATGGAAGGATAATGAGTATTGGCAAATAGCTTGCAGTGACTTTTTGGGAACTATTAGTAATAACTATCCCAAAACAGAGAGAATCAAATTCATAAAGAAAACAATTTGGATTCTTCCGCGTATTGTGAGGCAAACATCTATTTCTGGAGTTCTTACCTTCTACACAGATGCAAACAAATCAGGTAAGGCAGGGTATAAATCAGGAAATGTAAGTAAAGTAGTTCAAAGTCCTTACAACTCCGCACAAAAGGCAGAGTTATACACCATTCTCATGGTACTTAAAGACTTTACAGAGACTCTCAATATAGTCACGGATTCTCAGTATGCAGAAAGAGTTGTCTTGCACATTGAGACTGCAGAATTTGTTCCTGATAGTACAGAATTAACCTCATTGTTTTTACAACTACAAGAAACCATCAGAAACAGGACTCATCCTATATATATATATAACACACATCAGACCCCATACAGGTCTGCCAGGTCCTCTGGCACAAGGCAAGGATGAAATTGATCGTTTA